CAAGGCACTTCTCTGCAGTCTCTGTAAATAACTACAGGCAGGAGATTTTCCTCTGGGGACTAAGAAACAAAGAAAAAAGGCACATAGCAAGAAAAATGTGAATGATAGGAAGAGGCAGAGAGGGTCGAGCTGCCTCTTTGCCCTGGGCATCCTGTCCCAGCTCTCCAGGACCATCCTCGTGGCTGAACTTTCTTAGTGCAGCCACCAGTTTCTGTAAATAAGGCCTGGCTTTGCTTTTTCTCTTTCCAGCAGGATTCTCTCCCTCTCCTTCTCTCTCTCCCTCTCCTCTATTTCTTTTTAAAGATATAGTTATGTTGTCTCATGTTCATGAGTGTTTAGCCTGCATGGATGTCTGTGCACTGTGTATGTGGTGCCCATGGTGTCCAGAAGAGGGCGTTGGATCCTCTGGAACTAGAGTTACAAATGGTTGTGAGTTACCACGGGGATGCTGGGAATGGGACCCGGATCCTGGGCAGAAGCAATCAGTGGTCTTAACTGATGAGCTATCTACATCTGTCTGTCTGTCTGTCTGTCTGTCTGTCTGTCTGTCTGTCAGTCTGTCTCCCTTCCTTTCACTGATGAGCTCTCTACATCTATTTGCCCATCTTTTGTTTTTGTTTATGAAGTTTACTCTTTATTGTACAAAAGGAAATACTGTACACAACAGCACAATGCAAATGATGCTCTAGACCATCAGAAAAGCAGACTGGCGCAGGAAGCAGGGCAGCTCTTCCTCTGCCCTTTTCTGCCATGCAGAGCAGATGCAGGTTTAACTCTCTCTAGAGAGGTGGAGGAAGGCTTTCTGCCCTCAGATGGAGGCTTTAAAAGAAACTGTTGTTCACATGGTGGGGAATAGTCATGTGTGTGTGTGACCAGATCTAGCTAGGCTTGTCCTATTTTCTCTTGACTGCAGTAGAGTCCCGTTCCTATGTTCTCACCCTGACCTGGAAGAACCCCTTCAATAGTTAACACAAAACAAACAGAAACTCTCAAATAGTTAACACAAAACAAACAAACAAACAAACAAAACCCCAGAATCAACAGTTGTCTCTCAAAAATATTGTTGAAAAAAGTTGGTTGGGTGACTCAGAGGGAAAAGGGCAGGATACAAAGAAGTTAGGGGTTGGCAGTTGTTCTGTCAGCAGGAGTTCAAGGCAGAGTCCCTGAGGTTGTCAGTTCGGGATGACGACAAACGTCTATTAAGAAGACGGAGCCTGTGCACTGAGTCTGCACTTCCCGGCTGCTGGTGGCCTGGGGAGATATGAAGGACATGGGTCCTCATCCTGTCAGTGAGTATCAGGCCTGTCCTGTGTTTGTGGTGACCTCATCGTGGGCCACAGAACAGTGGGGTTGCAGGAAGTTGATCAGGTGTAGCCTGGAGAGGTTCTCTAGACATAGGGTATTCCAAATGGCTCCCCGATCCCCCAACTTAGCCATATGTGGATATCCTCTGATTAAGACTGAGACAGGCAGCTGGGCGTTGGTGGCACACGCCTTTAATCCCAGCACTCGGGAGGCAGAGGCAGGGGGGTCTCTGTAAGTTTGAGACCAGCCTGGTCTACAAGAGCTAGCTCCAGGACAGCCTCCAAAGACACAGAGAAACCCTGTCTCGAAAAAACAAAAAACAAAAACAAAAACAAGACAGGCAGTGGTAGCATAGCCTTTAATCCCAGCACTCTGGAGGCAGAGGAAGGTGAGTCTTTGTAAGTTTGAGGCTAGCCAGGTCTACATAGTGACTTCCAGGACAGCCAGGGCTGTCACAGAGAAAAACCCTCTCTTGAAAAACAAAAACAAACAAATGAGCAAACAAAAGGTGCTCTTGATCACACCTCTCTGCTCTTGGTCTGGTGTGTTCTTTTATTTCTGCTCCAACTTGAAATTCTTAAACTCCTGTGTAATCTCACCCAAGCTTCATAACATTAGTATTGTCGGCAGCTGAGGCAAAGTTCCGAGTCAAGGAGAACTTCTTGGCAAAACTGAAGTTTCTTTGAATCTTTTATAGTGCTGCATCAATTTTATTTGCCACCAGGCGGTATGGGATCTCCGGCCTGAACTCCTGAAGTTCAGCATACCAAGTATCCAAATTCTTATAGGTGATTTGCCTCTAGACATCAAATACCATGGAGCAGGCACGAACCTTGTGGTTGTAGGAGGCAAGCATGCTCTAGAATCGCTCCTGGTCTGCTGTTTCCCAGATGCTTGCAAGGATTGTCTCCCATCTACCGTGGCGGTGTGCTTATACGGACGGAGTCAAAGCATATGTGGACAGTTGCTGTGGCTGAAATTCATCCACGAGAAACCTCTACGTGATCTTGGAGGAGCCCATGGCACTGTCCCCCAGCAGATGATAGTCAAGTTATCATGTCCATCCTATTTCTCTTGATCCAGCTCATAATGCTTGGTTCTGTCCCCTGCCTAATATTAGCTCTTGGCAGTAGACAAGAGCCAGCCTTGGAGTCTTGTTGCTTATAGGTCATTGTGTTCTGGTATTGGCTTGGCCGAGTTTCTCCACCTTCATTGAATTTACTTATCCCTACCGTGTGTGTGTGTGTGTGTGTGTGTGTGTGTGTGTGTGTGTATGTGTGTGTGTGTGTATGTGTGTGTATGTGTGTATATATATATATGTGTGTGTGTGTGTGTGTGTATGTGTGTGTGTGTGTGTGTGTCTGTGTGTGTGTGTGTGTGTGTGTGTTCTATAGCACTCGAGTGGAGGTCAGAGGTCATTCCACGACGTGGGTGTCTGGGATCAAAATCAGGTTAACAGACTTGGCGGCAAGCGCCTTAATACTGAACCATCTTGCAGACCTAGGTCCTGTTTCTTGAGAAGGAAACACCCAGAGTCATACCATGCCCTATGCTCCCCAAACCTCTCCACCCAGCACCAGCTTTGCAGCTCATCCCTCCTGAAGGCCAGACTGAGCTTCACAGGAACCAAAATGTAAAATATTACCCCTGACCTTTCTGTAAATTCATTAAAAAAGACCCAAGGGGACCAGAGATCTGGGGAGAGGTGGCACCGCGCACCGCGTTGATCCCGGACAGCTGCTGGCCGGCCATGAGCACGATGATGGAGATGAGTTGCCAGCGCAGGGGCCTGAAGGTGAAGAGGTTGAGCACCGACAGGTGACCCTCTGCTTGCTCCTTGCGCTCCTCCTCGCGCATTTCTTCCATCTCGGCCTCCACATCGTAGTTGCAGCCTCGAAGCCTCCTTAGAGCTGCAGGGCAGAGAGGCGGCATGCCAGACTCACCCTCTGCTCCCATGGTATGGCAGCCAGACCTTCTCCAGAACCCAGGCCTCACCCGGATCACACTGTCCACTCAGCACAAGCCCCCTGCTCTCAGACCCCGATGTCACCAGACGGCACCTGCCCATTCCGTGCTGTTTTTGTTCGTTGGGGGCTGTGGGTGGGGGAGTAGCCTGTGTCCCAGTACCTTGCCTTGCCGTCTCTTCGTCCCCTTTCTCAATCAGAGTGTAACGGGGGCTCTCGGGGAAGAAAGGCAGCGAGAGGAGCTGAATCAGTGCAGGGACCCCCGTGAGAGCCAAGAGGATCGGCCAACCTGGGCAGGACAAGCACGACGGCTTGAGACTTGACTCTGCCGCAGGGCACAGGGGTTCCCCTCCTGCTTCGCCTCCCGCCTTCCCCAGCCAGGTGATAAGCGAGAGTGGTGGGCACCTAGTCCTTGGCAAGATGTGGCTGCCCACGAAGGGCATCCATGTTAAAAGAGAGGAGAGGGTTTGGTGGGTAAGTTCACTTGTATGAAGACCTCTGCTGACTCCCCAGCACCTACCTAAAGACGGTGTCCGTCTATGCCCTTGACCCCAGCCGGCACTCTGACGGGAGGTTGGGGGTGGGGTGGGGGAGGGGCATTGGCAAGCAGATCCAGGGAGCTCATTGGCTGGCCAGCCTAGCCCGGCTTATCTCTATATCCACAGGCTGACCTAAAGGTCACCAAAACACCTTCCTGTTTGGACGATTGGTTAAGTTTGGGCTCAGCTGCACCATCGGCCTCACCTTTCCCTCTCCCCACCCCACCCACTCATGTTGCTGGTTACCTGTGGCATTGCCCAGGATGGCCTGCAGACTGAAGATCTGTGCCAGGAGGACTCCAGTGATGACAAATACCTCCGTCATTGTCGCTAATGCACCCCTCAGGTTCTTGGGAGCCAGTTCTCCCAGGTACATGGGAAGGGCGCTGTAGGAGACGCCTAATTCAGACAAAATGGAAACCAGACTCATCAAAAGCAGGCACCCGGCTCTCAGAACCCAGTGTCTAAGGTTGACTCCACCTTCTCTTTATCCTGGATTCCACTGGGGCCGGAAGAGGCGGTGATGTTGATTGTTTAGTTTGAACTGCAACCACAGCCTCTCCAACCTTTTCAGCCTTGCTAGAGTGTGAAAATGGTCTGCCAAGAAATTCCTTTCCCAAAGTCTGGCATTTAGACAAAGGCAGGCATTCCCTTGGGAGCTTGAGAAAATAGTCCCTACATGCTAAGAGGGGTCATTCCGACAGTCTGGTCTCTGGCAACAGGGACCTATGGCTCCTCCATTAACCTATGCCTGTGGTGACTATTAGCATATCAAGCTAGCTCTATGCTAGCCCCTAGGCTCCATCAATGGTCACCACAAGACTTCAAAGCCCTCCACCCCAGTTCACAGGATGGTTCTCACAAGACTTCAAAGCCCTCCACCCCAGTTCACAGGCTCCCTTCCCCCCAGGTCAGGTACTTCCCCCTTAAACCCTAGAAATGTCTCACTTCCACCTTGATTCACCACCATGACTACACACCGCCAACCTCCCATCACCACCACCACCAAAACCACCCCCCAAACCACCCCATCACCCCTCTCCACCAAAACCACCCCCAAAACCACCCCATCAACCCTCCCCACCAAAACCACCACCCAAACCACCCCCATCACCCCTCCCCACCAAAACCACCACCACCACCCCCATTGCTTTTCTCCGCTTTCCCAAGACAAAGCCTTGGAAATTTGGGGTAAACTTTCCCCTTTTTATCTGCAGAGTAGCTGTTTTGTTTTCATTACTGTGTCTTTCAAAAAGGATACTGTTACCTTCCTGGCTTCCGGGTCAGACTACTCTTGAGCAGAGGAGTCTATGCTGTGTGGTAACTATGTGGACTTCCATATTCAAGTCTTATTTTGATTGATCTACAATCAAAGTTATTTCTTAAGTGCCCATCACTTGCATAGTCTTTGTGTTGTCTTGCTTGTGGTACCAATGCATGCTTGGCGGCTACTCTGCTCCTGAGCTCTCCTCAGCCCTTTCTTTTCTTATTTTCTGTGGGTGTGGTTCTGGGTATTGAACCTAGGGGTGTGTGTGTGTGTGTGTGTGTGTGTGTGTGTGTGTGTAGCACTCTATCACAGAGTCCTAGCTCTCTTGTGTTTTAAAAACAAGAGGAACCATGATAGGATTAAGAATCCTAATAGCTGCCTGAGACAGAGACACCGTATTCTGTACTCTTTGCCCTTGAAGCCGTTCAGTCTGTTTAAACTGTTTGCCCTCCTTGCAGATAGCTGCGAAACTGGACTGTTAAGTGTTCTTCACAGTAAAATGTCTCCTCCCCCACCCCTCTTCCTTTTTTCCCCTGCTTTCCCTCCTTCCTCCTTCCTTCCCTCTCCCTCACTCCCCCCTCCATCCCCCTTCCTTCCTTCCTTCCTTCCTTCCTTCCTTCCTTCCTTCCTTTCTTCCCAGAACAAGATCTCATGATTGCTAGGTCTCAAACCCTAGAGAAATGGCTGAGGTTCCTATTCAACATACAAAGCAGACCCTGGTTGCCAGATTCTCCCAGAATCCCTCAGTCCCTGCCTGTTACGGAGTCCCCCTAGCTAGTGTGCCATGCCTCCTCCCCTAAACTTCTCCAGCCCAGGGACCAAGCTGGGCTGCCATTCTCCCAGTGGCTCTTCCCTATATAACCAGCCATTTCAGTTACACTGGTGCTTTTGCCTTTTACCCTCCTGGCCTCTTGGCTCCTGGCTCTCTGGCTCTCTTCCCCTCCCCTCCTGCCTCCTCTCATGTGGTTTGGCTCAGGGTCATGTTCCATCCGGACCCTTCCAGGTGCCTCTGGTTTTGCCCTCCCTGTTATCTGTAATAAACCTTCTCCTTCACCCTGTCTAGGAACAGTCATGGCCTCCTTCTATGTCTTTTTTTCATTAAATGGTGCAGCCCTGGCTAGTCTGGAGCTCGCTATACAGACCAAGTTAGACTTGAATCTACAGCAACCCACTTGCCTCTGTCCTGAGTGCTGGGATTCTAGGTGTGGTGAAAGACTTCACTACAGAAAGAGAGGAGGGAGGGGCTAGAAAGCCCGGGGCCTGCTAGGGCCTAGGACTGGAAAATGATGACACCCAGGGAGGAAAAGGGCAGACAGCTAGACCCTGTGTCTAGCCTTGGGCCCCGGTGCTGGGCACCTGTGTCTCAGAGCTGATCCCTCGACAGCGCACACCACCAAAGACCCAGCTCTTCAGTGGCCTCTCTCGGTACCTGCACAGATTCCCACCAGCACTCGAGAGAAGATGATCAGCTCAAAGGCCCGGGCCACCTTGCTGACCCCCATCAGGATGGCAGGTGTCACAGCGAAGACATTGTTGATCAGCAGTGTTCCTTTTCTGCAAGACAGCGGGGCCCAGAGGACAGGGGTGCCCAGAACAGGTTTTCCCACACCAAACCCAGTGCTCCAGGCTGTTCCCTACAAAAGGAGCTACACTGTGGGTGAGAAGTGGTGAGAAGTGGTGGGTGGGACAGGGTACTGGAGTGTCCCCCAGGGTCTCGAATGTGCAGCAATCCCTTCCCCTGGGGGGGGGGCTTCGGATGACTTGGTCAGTTGTGGGAGGGGCAGTTCTCATGATGGGACTTGTGCTCTTGTGGTATATAACACTCTCTCCATGCATACAAAAGAAAGCCCAAGCTGACCAAGAATGGGAAAGTGTGTGTCAAAGTTCCAGGAAAGAGAGGGCTGGCTGACAGGAGTGGTGGAGGGGGCAGTGCGTCCCCAACACTGCAGCTTCTCTGGGGGGTTTGAGCTTCGGGTGACTAGGTTAGTCATGCCCCACTGGTGATCTCTAAACCAGACCTGACCCTGCCAGGGATGTTGACCAGAGAGATTCCCATGACTTTAATAGGAAAAATTAATAAAGCCCGTACAGGGAAAAAGGGAATTTCTGATCTTAAGCTACCTAAGACAGCACAAAAGAAGAGAACGACCCCCTGACTGAGTAAGTGACTCGAAGCCTAAAGCCCACCTGTGTCAACATTCCTTTGTCCCAAAGAAGACTAGATACCACCAATTAACAGTTGTAAAAACCAGCGGGCCCAGGGGATAATTAACAAACTGTGACCAAATGCCCCCTGCCCTTTCCTGTTCAATTGTATCTTGCTTTAGCCTATAGTTATCACTTTACCTTGTGTAGTCACGGAAACTTTGTAATCTCCAGGCTTTCAGCCTTATGGAATATATATATATATATATATATATATATATATATATATATCCCTTAGCTGTAAACAGGCACCTCACTCACTCACCAGCAAGTGAGATCTCTGCCCCAGATTGATTAAACAAAGAAACCTTTGCCTTTGCTTTCAGTGAGTCTCCTTGGTGGTGGTCCTTTTGGGGTCCCACGGACTGGGCATTACAGGACTAGATGACCTCTAAATGAAACCCAATAGTCTGTGATGGGAGGGAGGGGAGGCCTGTAAAGTAGCCTCCAGGCCCTGGAGCCACCTTTTGTTGCTTGCTTGTTTTAGGCTTTTTGTTGTTGTTTTGCTTTATAAAATAGGGCCTAGTGTATCCCAGGCTGTCCTTACATTTGCTTTGTAGCCGGAGCTGCAGTCCCCACCTCCAGAGGGCTAGATTCTAGCTGTGCTCTGCCACACCCACTCCAGAGAAAGCTAATTGTTCCCCATCTTCAGACCTGGAGCTGCCAGTAGTTTGAGGGCTCAGCACCTGACTGTTGTAGGTGAAGCAGGGCTGATGGGTCTTTATGAAAATGTCCCCTGCGCACTTTTCTCTTCCTGGGGCTGCCACAGCCCTGAAGCTTGCCCCTGAAGACCCATGAGGATAAATAGCACATAGCAGTCCTATATTCTTGATACCCTCTTACCCTTCCTGACCCCCAGGAAGCCTGCTGGCCTCAGGGAGGCTCAGGACGATGGGACTCTACTAGGCAGGCTGACTCCACTTCTTCTCCTGGCTCCTCATTTGCAGTATGAGTCTGGGGAGACTGTCTTTAAGAGGCTGGGTATGGTGGCACCCGTCTTTAATCCTAGCACCTGGGAGGCAGAGGCAGGTGGATCTTTGTGAGTGACAGGCCAGCCTGGTCTACAAAGTGAGGCACTATCTCAAAAAAAAAAAAAAATCTTTAAGCTTCCTCTTCAACCCAAGTTTCCTAACTGAAAAGGAATCCTTGGGTTTCTAGAATAGTCTGCTCGATGCTTGCAAGCCTGACCTGCAGCATGATCAGATCTATTGAATTCTTTCTTCACTCAACTGTACAAGAGAGGAAAGTTCACCGTCCACCACATATTACAAGGAGAGGCTTCTGGGTCCAGTTTTCATAAACAGACAATTTCCAATTGATAACATTTTCTTTAATGCATGAAAAGGAAACTGCTGTGTTTTTAGAGTTACTTTTCATTATGGGTTCTCCACTCCCCATGCTCACACAGCCTGCTTTGGTGTGACAAGTTCCTGTGAGGATGGCCTGGCCAAGCAGAATGCAGCTGGGCCTCACCCCGAGACCTTCCTGGGACCTTGACCTGCAGGGCCCACCTTATCTTCAGTCATGCCTCTGTAGTGTGGGTCTGTGAGGAGTCAAAGTGCACAGGCCTGGGCTTCACCTCCAACGAAGATATGAGACCAAGGCACGTGTGGTGACTCACCCAGCTCTGTTCCCAACTTCAGGACACCTGATGAGCCCATGTGAAGAGAGCTGTCAGAACCAGAAGCCATCTGACCCCAGAATGAATCTCCTTCGGTGGCATTTCTGAACACATGCCTTGAGTGCTTATGAGGCACCAAGCTAAGCACCATCAGAGCCTTGACCTCAGAGCCTTGACCTGCAGCACCTCTGGGACGGGTGGTGGAAGGATGTTTCTTGTATGTAGCTGCCCAGGAAAGAGATCCCTAAGGGTCTGGCTGGTTTGTGCCCTGATATATGTGGCTTGCTTTCAGATCTGATCTCAACTACTCAGCGGGAGCTCAGTGGTCAGGAGAGCCTGTGGCTGGCTGGGATGAATTTCAAGTCTGGGAATGACGTCCACTATTTACCTGCCCCACTTATTAACCATCAGGCCAACAATCAAGGACCCCAACAAGCCTCCGAGAGGGAACATGGAGACGGTGCAAGACCACAGGAGCAGCAGGGAATTCTCGTCCATGAATTTTCCATGCCGCTCAAAGTACGTGTCATTGTAAAACGACTTGAAGACCTGAAAGACAGGGCCCCATCCATTGCTCAGGATACTGTGCAACTTACAGAAATGGCGATGTAAGTTCTCAGCTGCTTCCTGTTGTCTAATAGTGGACTGTTTGTGCCAGTACCCGAAGGACACATTGAACCTCGTGGTGCCCTGCTGGCACCTGAGAGCAAAATAACACTCTGTGCAAAGGGGAAGAGATGGGAAGCCAGATTCAACAAAAAACAGTTAAAAACTCACTTTTATAGGCTTATCCTGCCAGAGGCAATGTAGGCAAGAGTCACAATAGCTGGGTGACTTTGAGCAGCCTGTCAAACTCCATAGTCTTAATCTCCTCACTATTATACAAATCAGGCTTCCATTGCTGTGACCAAACACCTGAAGCGGCCTGGAGAGAAAAGGTTCATTTCCTCTTGCAGCTTTCAGCTCACACCCTGTCACTGAGGGAAGTTAGGGCAGGAACTGAAGGCAGGAGCTGATGCAGAGGCCATGGAGGAGCACTGCTTACTGGCTTGCTTCCCCATGGGCTTCTCAGCCTTCCTTCCTTCCTTCCTTCCTTTCTTTTCTTTTCTTTTTCTTTTTTTTTTTTTCGAGACAGGGTTTCTCTGTGTAGCTTTGGCGCCTATCCTGGCACTCGCTCTGGAGACCAGGCTGGCCTCGAACTCACAGAGATCCGCCTGCCTCTGCCTCCCGAGTGCTGGGATTAAAGGCGTGCACCACCAACGCCCAGCCTCAGCCTGCTTTCTTATACAACCCTGGACAACCTGTCCAGGGATGGCCCCACCCACAGTGAGCTGAAGTCTCTCACATCAGCCATCAATCAAGAAAACGCTTGCCCGCAGGCCAATCTAGGGGGAGCATCTTCTCAAGTTGGGTTCCCTCTTCCAAAATGACTCTAGCTTGCATACAGTTGACATTAAGCTAGCCAGCACACTAATTATAATTGTGATGACACTTTACCTGTGTCATCCTTAGAAGAGATTGCCCAGGGCTGGGCATGCAGTTCAGATGGCAGAGCACTTGCCCAGTGTGCAGGAAGCCCTGGGTTCCACCCCCAACCCCGAATAAGATCAGCTATGGTGGTGCATGCCTGTAATCTCAGCACTTGGGGGGTGGGGGTAGGTAGAGGCAGGAGGGTCAGAACTTCAAGGTCAGCTCTGCTACATATAGAGTTTGAGGCTACTCTCAATTACCACGATTCTGCCTGAAAAAGTGGGGTGCCGAGGGGAGACTGGAGAGATGGCAGCAGGTAAGAGCACTGGAGTTTGGTTCCCAGCACCCATGTCAGGTGGCTCACAGTCACCCGGCTCAGAGGCTCTTCTAGCAATGTTGGGGCACACACAGAGATTTAAAAGAAGGATCCCAAACTGGGGGTGTGGCTCAGTGGTGGACTACTTGCCTATCCTTCCAGGCCCTGGGGGCCAGACTCCAGCAGTGCAGGGCTCAAAAGGAATCATGACTTTTTTATCTGAAGGAATGAGGGGACAGACACTTACACACTCTTTTGATGGTCTCCTTCTGTATTCTTTATTCTGTATTCACCATTCTCTATTCTTATTTCTACCCAGAAATGTCCCTTCTGTCTCTCTTGATGTTTTTCTTCAAACCCTTTATTCTTTCCCTTACAGCTTTTATACCCCAGCAAATATAGAAATTGCAATGTGTTCACATTCCATTTTCAAGCGAATGATTACAATGAATACAAGTTAAAAAAATGTTTTCCATATACCTCATATGATTAAAGATTTTACGTATTATAGGTGAGAAACAAGTTGTCCCAAGAACCCACATACGCACGTTCATACCTGAGCAACTTGTTACAGATTAACAGAGTATGAGCAAGCAGCGTATTTTTCTCAGCCAGTTCTTTTGCTGGCCGGCTGCACAGTGTGGTTACAAAGGACATATCAGTCACTTGATTACTTATCTTGAAAGGGAATCTTAAAGGAATCACAAACCTAAACTTCTAGACAGAGAGAGCAATCATCAGTCAGTTAATCATCATTAATGGTCACTAATCAATCCTAGCAAGGAGAGTACGTCAGCTGGCAATAACTGGGCTGCTTTGGCTTTTGATCCCTAACCTAATGAATCTATCCCTTAGCTACATGTCCTTATGACCTTCAGATTGTTTTCTAGGGTTTTTCATCTCAAAGCTATCATCACATCTTGATCTAACCTGGAGTCAATTTTAAGGCTTCATCTCAGCTGTGATGCACACTGAAACCCATGACTGCATCTTTAGACATCAAGATTTAAAGAATTCAAGCCGTCCTGGCTCCTGGGACTCGACTGTTTTCCTTAATCATTAACCTGAACTGTAATCTGTGCAGCTCCCTAAGTGAAACTCCTAAGCCCTAGCAAAACTCTATTGAAACTAACTTTGTTATTATCAGTTAGACAGTACAACTTAGGAAGAAATCATCTTGACAATAATCCACAGGTAAAAATGCCCAGTAGAGTGGGATGTTTCTATGAGATAAACACACTATATTACAGGCACTGGGGATTTCCCCACACCCATTCACACCGTGCCAGACACCAGAGAAAGATAGCAGCGGCAAACGAGTAAAGCCACAGCAGAAGCAAAAGGCATTCTGGAGTCTGTGGTCTTGGGGCCTTGCCTATCCAAGATTCATCCATCAAGAATTCACCTCCTTGTGCGCCGACACCTCAAACTTCACTTGCCAACTGTTGCTCCTCTGACAGGGCCACCAGCAGTAGCCTCTGGTCACAACACTGGAGAGGCTAAGGCAGGAGGAGGGCTTAGGGCCAGCTTGATGTATATAATACCTCAATAAACCTAGGGATGGGAGTGGCGAGATGGCCCAGTGGTCACTCAAGCCAAAGCTGATGGCTTGAGTCAGACCCTTGAGGAGAAGCCCAGCGAGGACTCCTGCTGTCTTCTGACCTCATATGCTCACTGTGGCAAGTACATGCCCCACACATACTCAGACACACTCAAGACAGACTGAATAGGTATAAATAAATTAAATAAATAAATAAATAAATGCAATTATACATGTAGGCTTCTTCTTCTTCCTCTTCTTCTTCCTCTTCTTCTTCTTCTTCTTCTTCTTCTTCTTCTTCTTCTTCTTCTTCTTCTTCTTCTTCTTCTTCTTTTTGAGATAAGGTCTCTCTATGCAGTTCTGGCTGTACCAGAGCTCTCTATGTAGGCTGGCCTTGAACTCACAAGCTATCCTCCTGCCTCTGCCTCCCCAGTGCTGTGATTAAAGGTGTGTGCCACCATACCTAGAGACATAAAATAGTTCTTAAGAAAATAAGCTGTCTGGGAATGGCTCTCTGTGGTACAACACTTTTCTGGTTGTGGAGCTCCGGGTGTGCTCCTCAGCACTGTAAAATCTAATACCACTAAAAGTGCATGGAGCTCCGGGTGTGCTCCTCAGCACTGTAAAATCTAATACCACTAAAACCTTCATAAGATCAAAGCTGCTGCATTGATGATAGCAAGTAATTAATATCTGTATGTGTAATGCATATACATGCAATTCACGTAATACATATTCAAATATGTATATGTACCATGGGTAACTACTTGCTTTCCCCCCTATAAACAATAGCTGTAAGTCAATGACATTTATTTATTTTATCCGCCAATCTATCAATCTCACTGACCCAGCCTGGGCTCGAACTCTCAATCCCCCTTTTTCACTTCCTCAGCATCTGGGATGACCGATGAGCATTGCTGTACCTGTCTTCTGTGACACCGATTTTTTTTTTTAAATACTGCTGAATTTACATCCTTAAGTGAATAGACCACGCCACCCAAGACACTTGTCCCCTTTGCTCCTTCAGGGCCATCCTTTCCGCACCTGTCCTTGCGAGTCCTGCTTTGTTGGTCTCTCCCTCTGTACCTCAAATCTCCCATCGGTATACACATGGCTCCTGCTGTGTGAAACCCAGACTAGGCCCCTCATTATCCCCCTATTAAACTTCCTTCTCGGGCTCTCTCTCCTAATTAGCAAAATTATTTCACAACTGTGTTTGCCCTGCCCAGGTTTCTGCTTCATACCTGTCTCCTCTTGAAATCATCCCAGCCAAAATTTATCTCCATTGCTTCTCCTTGCCCCAAACGCAGTCCCTAAATGCGGCTAACAGAGTCTCTGTCATCTACACATGGCCCTCCCAGGTGAGCAAAGTGGGGCCAAAGCCCAAGGTGCCTAAGCACAGACTCCAGACGCCCTAGCACTAAAGTGTCGAGAAAAGATGACATTGCTGGGAAACAAAACACCTGCCTCTGGCTGCCTCTGGTCCTGAGAGGTGAGCATCTCGGGGAGTCTAGGAGAAGACGGAGACTTTCAGAAGCAAAACAGCATCTGACTTCTACCCATGGGACCCGCCTTGTGCCCACCTTGTGAGGTGTGTTGATCACAGAGATGTTGTAGCCATACTGGAAGGCTGAGCCAAAGGATGCACTTAGGGTAGTCAGGATCAGTGTGGGCTTGAGGCTCTGTGTGAGAGATTTCCAAGGTCAGAGACTCACTCTTGTAGGGTTGGTTCCTGGAGCATCTAGCACCGGGGGTGGGTGGGGTGAGGGAGGCTAGGCCTCCTCTTCTTCCTTAGATCTGTTTGGGAGCTGACTATGATCCTGAAAGGGAAGGTGACCCGTGCAGGTGCTGTCAGAGCTCTGAGGCCTCCTTTCCTGTTTCCAGGCACACATTTTTCCTGCCTTTGCCCTTAGGGGTGGAGGGACAGGGTAGATGAGGGCTGTGAAGCCACGCCATCCATCCCTCCCCACAAGCTTCAATGGAGTATGCTTATTCTGAGCAAGGGGAGGGGGTCGGGTGTGGCAGTCCCCCTGTGACCATCCTGGTAGGCACTCCCCTCCAAGCCCTCGTTGATAGATCGACTCCAGGACCTTTATCTGCATACAAAGGTCTCCAGGTTCATGAGATAGAGGCAGTTTTCAAAATTGGCACTTACCCCTTTCACGTGTGGCGTGGACTGAGGCGTCTCTGTCCCCTTCTTCTCCATCCTCATCCAGGTAGGCAAGCGGGTGCACTCTGCCTCTCAGATGCTATGGACCCTGCTCGCTCTATATGGGCTGCCAGCAGGATCTGCCGAGTTTCCCCAAGGCTGGCTTAGTATATGATCCTCTTGCCCTCTGGACCTTAATGGCTTTTTGCCGGGACCCATTCTCCTTGACAGGCTGATAAGATACGTGTCGATGCTTTGCCAATGGCATCCACACACAGAGGGGCTACATCTTTGCACCCTACAACCCCCAGTCAGTAGCCCCCCAGTTGCCACAAGGAAGGAAAAGACACTGGTTGGTCTCTAAATGTGAGTTAGGGCAATCAAAGGAAGCTGCAGCTTTGACCTTGGAGGCTTCCCTTGTCTTCTTTCTCCAGAGGTACCTCTCTCGAACACTGGGCTAGTTGTCTATTCAGGGGAAGACATCTCAATTTTTTTTTTTTTGTGCAACTTTGCTGGCCATGGTGGCAAACTCCTATAATCTCAGCATTTGTGGGGTAGGGACAGGGGGAGCATGGGTTTGAGATCAGTCCAGGAAATACAGTAAGAACTTATATATATAAAAAAGACAAAAATAAAAACAAGAAAACAAAATCCAAGGGCTGGGAGGTGGCTCAGTAGCATTCAGTTGCTTACTTCATATAAAATTCTGGATTTCAGTTGGGCAGTGGTGGTGCATACTTTTAATCCTAGCACTCAGGAGGCAGAGGTGGGCAGATCTCTGTGAGTTCAAGACCAATCTGGTTCCAGCATAGCCAGGGCTACACGGAGAAACCCTGTCTCAAAACACCAAACCAAAGCAAAAATGAGACAAAACAAAAAAAGACTCTGGATTCCATTCCTATCATTGCAAGACAAGACAAGACAAGACAAGACAAGACAAGACAAGGCTGAAGAAGAAACTGTGGTCAGCCTACCCAAGCTGCAGTAGCCCTGCCCAGGTGCCCAGGCCAGCTTGCATGAGCACATGCGGCAGGAACTTCCTCCCTGAGCCAAGCCTGCCTCTACTCCCAGAGACTGCTGACAGAGACATAGCTGACCCAGAGATACCAAAGAGGAAAGGACAGCATACAGAATCAGCAGCCTGAGCCAATAGGACCTTGGGAGAGGGTATAAAGGCAGGTCTGACTTCCTTAGTAAACGAGTCTGCAGCATGCTCTGCTATCTACTGATTCCCAGGGCCTGAGTCATTGGTGCTGCGTCTTCTCACCCCCTCCCCCAAGGGGTGCCGAGCAGGGCAACCCATACATAACACAAGGCAACCTTAAAATTTTTTGCATTTTAATTAATTAATTGTTATTAATATCACTGTTATTTTTGCGTATGTGGGGGGGGGCATGCATGTGTCACAGTGCATACGCAGAAGTCAGAGGAGAACTCCCAGGAGTCACTTCTCTCTTCCTGCCATGTTAGTCACTGGGCTTGAACTGAGGTTGTCAGGCTCGGCAAGGGTCAATTAGCTCTGCCATCTCATGGGCGTTCTGTATTTGTTGTCTCTGTAACACGATAAATAAAAGGGACCCAGAGCCTGATGCTGGGTTCAAACTTCAAGCTGAAGCACAGAAAAGCAAAGTAGCCCACCACGAGCTCTTACCTCAGGCTCAATGGGCTGATTCTGCTGTCTCTCCTCAGTGTGGCTGGAGAATTCTGAGACTGAATGTCTTCCTATCTTCAACATGGCTGGAGAATGAATGCCCAATACTGAGACCTTGCTCCTGTCTTATATACCTCCCTAATGCCTGGATTGAAGGTGTGTGATCCCAGGTGCTGAGATCTCTCTCTTTCTCTCTTTCTCTCTCTCTCTCTCTCTCTCTCTCTCTCTCTCTCTCTCTCTCTCTCTATCTATTAAGTATACAGTCTTCTGTCTGCCTGTGCCCTGCAGGCCAGAAGAGGGCACCAGATGGGCACCAGATCTCATCAGATCTCATTCAGGGTGGTTGTGAGCCACCATGTGGTTGCAGGGAATTGAACTCAGGACCTCTGGAAAAGCAGTCAGTGCTCTTAATCTCTGAGCCATCTCTCCAGCTTCTCTTTAGGACTGGATCAATCTTGTGTGGCCTTGGACTCATAGAGATCCGTCTAACTTTTCATCCCGAGTCCTGGATTAAAGGTGTGTACCATCACCTCCTAGCTTCTGGCTGCTGGGATTAAAGGTGTGTGTGTGTGTGTGTGTGTGTGTGTGTGTGTGTGTGTGTGTGTCTGGCTCCTATGGCTTGTGGCTGACTTTGCTTTCTGAATCCTTAGGCAAGCTTTAATGAATCATAAATAACTTATCACCACATAGCTCTCTGTGTGTATTAGTTACTTTTCTGTCACTGTGATTAAAACATGATGACCAGAGGCAACTTAAGATAGGAGGGGTAAGAGTCCATCAGTGCAGGGAGGCACAATAGCACGGGGCAGGCGGTGGAGCAAGAAGCCCAGAGTGCACATCTTTAGACAAGCACAAAGCAGGCCTGGAGAGATGGCTCAGAGGTTAAGAGCACTGGCTGCTCTTCCAGAGGTCCTGAGTTCAATTCCCAGCAACCACATGGTGGCTCACAACCATCTGTAATGAGATCTGGTGTCCTCTTCTGGTGTGCAGATATACATGGAAGCAGAATGTTGTATACATAATAAATAAATAAAATCTTAAAAAAAAAACAAGCACAAAGCAGACAGAGCAAATTAGAAGTAGGGTAAGGATATATCGTCTCACATCCATCCCCAGACTTCCCCAAACTACACAACAACTAGAAACCAAGTGTTCAAATACTGGAGCCATAAGAGACATTTCTTATTTAAACCACTATGGCCATGCGTGTGTGCGAGTGCGTGTGTGCGTGTGTGCGTGTGTGCGTGTGTGCGTGTGTGTGTGTGTGTGTGTGTGTTTGTGTGTGTGTGTGTGTTTGGACACCCATGCGGAGGACTCAGGACAACTTCAGGCATCTGCTATCAGCTTCCACCTAGTTTGAAATAGGGTCTATTACTATTTGGTGCTTCATCTGCTAGGTTGGGGGCTGCCAGCTTCTGGGGATTTTCCTGCCTCTGCCTCCCACACGAATACTGGGGTTCAGACCAACACTGCCATGTCCAGCTGTGACATGGGTTATAAGAACTCAGTGTGGCAAGCGTTTTACTGACTGAGCCATCTCCCTAGCCTACAACCATATTATTTCCAGTCACCCTGAGAAATTAAAGTATTAGAAATAATGATTAGAACTAATTAGTAAATAATTGTAACCACTGTGGTTTAGATCTTTAACTGGTGTGTTAAAGACTTGAGCTCCACTGAGACAGCTCTCCAGCCATTTTCTTCATTTTATTTGTGCATGAGAGTCTAGTGTTTTCTTCATGTTCTCATTTCCAAGATAAAAAGCAGGTGGCAAAGGTGGTCAAGGTCTATGAAACAGTGTGGACTTTCTGGTAGAGGAGATTCTGAGCCCAATTTGGGCTCTGAATGTGTCTGACTTTGGGGGCTAGAAACCCCTTCAAATCCCACTTTTCTACCTCTGTTGTCACCACTTAAAACCCTCCCTGTCAAGACTCTCTTGTTCTGACACATTTCCATCCTGATTCACCTAAAGTTCATTTCTGGGGGAGGGGATTGGTTTTGGATTTTGGAGATAGATTCTGGTGGATCCCAGGCTCTATATGGAATTCACTATGTGGCCAACGATGACCTTGAATTCCTAAAGGGATTGGTTTTGGATTTTGGAGATAGATTCTGGCTCTATATGGAATTCACTATGTGGCCAACGATGACCTTGAATTCCTAATCCTCCTTCCTTCCCCTTCCAAGTCTAGCTCCCATTCCAGACATTTGCCACCATGCCTGGCTTAGCCTTTCAAACCTCTTGACTTCAAACCTCTAGAGTCTGGATATTTATTTGCCATCAGCTCTGACCACACAAGTGTGATGCCTGTGAGAAAGCACTCAAGCCAGAAGACAGGGGGGGGCAGGGGGCAGCGGGCCTGAGGATAGGGAGCTGGAGGAGAGAAAGGAGGAGGACAGAGAGACAGAAGACAGGGAGAGGTAACTGTTGTGACCATTCCTTAGCCTAAGAACCTGCCCTTTGCCCTCACCCCTACCAAACTGTGCCCTTGGGTCCGCTGACACCAAATCCAATGAGCCTCTTCTGGCCCCAGCAGATGGCAGACTAGTCACTGGGTCTTTCTTGTAGTTGCCAAGACCCTCTCACACAAATAAAGTCTAAACTCAGTCTCCAAAAAGCTCTGGGAGTCTAACTTCCTCCAGGACTCCCCGACTGGGGCAGTGGGGTGGTTCTCTGAACTGTGTGTGTGACTGGGCCTGGGCCTCTGGCCTGTCCACCACACTCATAAGTGTACAACAGCCTCTCTTCCCTGACTCCCTTTCTGTTTCTTTTCACTCACCTTCTCTTTCTTTGAGCCTTGCATTTACCAGCTGGTCTCGTGCTGCCCTGGCCCCACCTGGAACTGCTAGAAACTCTGTGTTCCCTAGCAGCAGGATTATCTTGGTTGTTTTGCAGTGCTTGTGGGTCAGGGTGGGGGGCAGGACCTCCTGTATGCTAGGCTCTACCACCGAGCTACATACCCAGCCTTCAAGACTATCATAATAACCAAGTTTTAGACTCAGAGTGGCTCTCAAGACTAAAAGCATCACCGAGTATGGTGGTGCACCCATTTAATCCCGGTACTCAGGAGGCAGAGGCAGCAGACTTCTGTGAGTTCAAGACCATCCTGACCTACAAAGCAAGTTCCAGGATAGCCAGGGATGCAGAGTGAGACCCTGCTCCCCCCCCAACACACAAAAGACTTCTGTTCTCTCTTACAGGCCCTAACTTCCTGGTTCTCCTTCTAGACCAAAACATTAGGGCTCCCTGAGCAGAATGTCTTACTTCTATTGAGTCCTCACTAATTGGAGAACCCTTTGTATTTTCTATATCTTTATCACCCTACTCCCATGCCTCATAGCTCTTGCTATATAACCCACTCACACAAGCAGAGTTCTAGACATTTCTATGTAGAACTGTGTGAGT